TTTTTTTGCTATCAAGTAACCACCTAAAAAAGAGACTACGATCTATGGTCTATGATCTATCATCATAGTTTCTTGGTGTGAATAAATAGTTTTGAAGTAAAGTTCCGAAAATAACCATAATTACTCAGCTTCAGATTCTATCAGAAGGTAAGGGGACGGGAAGCAAACACGTGTAGTCAAACCCATTTGCCAGGATTCTACCATAAGCGTAGAACTCTTCATCCCAGGCACATAAAATTTGGGTGTAGAAGAACTTGTTTTCTTTGTAGAAAAAGATATTTTTGATAACTCGAAGGCGAGAGGTGTTGACATGAACTAACATTAAGAAATAACAATCGGTTTACTGTCCTTCGTATCTGTTATTTCCCACCTTTGCCTTTTAAAATTTCGAATTACATTTGAGGGTCGTGAATTTCGGGCTTTCTCTATTGGTGGAGAGCGGGTTGTTACTTTCGGAACTTATTTAACCAGCGAGATTACTTTGAGCTGACAGTGTTCATTTCTACTGCATCAAGTGTTCGTTCGTGCTCCTCGTCGTTATAAGGCAGGAAAGGCAAATACTTGGCCACTTTGTAGTTACTGATGCGGTTGAGACCAAACGGCAAATCATAGACTTTAATAGAAGCTGTTTGAAACTGTTCATCACTGTGATCTGATAAATGTTGCCTCCAAGCCTTGAGCCCGCGTTCCTCAATGGTACCAGGAATGGTGTTGTCCAGAATCAATGCAACGATACAACCCACTGCCATGCTTGTTTTAAACAGTACCGTCACTATCTGGTCGATTTCTGACACACCTATTGAACGACCAAACACTGTTAGCTGCTTATATAAGTCCGTTAGTTCTCCAAAATTAAGTATCGTAATTAACAATTATACTAAGGATTCCCTGACACGAAAAGAATAAACGCTCGATGTTAGCGAGTATTACCCATGGATGGAAAGATGAATACAGGATTATTACATATTGGATATCTACGAAATAAAACGGTCGATGAACTGGCGATTGTTTTGAAGAAATTCTACGCGTAGGTAAGATAGAAAGACGGGAAGCTTTGGCACTATAAATTTATCGATTTTCACAATTCCCACTTCTTGATTTTTCTTTTTTTTTCCCTTGAAACGCTGTGAACTTAGTTGTGACATATTATAGATGATTTAAAAGTTCAGGAAAGGAATTCACTATTGGATGCAAAGGCAAAAGTATCGCAAAGAAACAAGACTAAATACACTTGAATGTGGTCTTGCTATGAATTAATCCCTTTGGCTTTTTTTCTTAACACCATACCAGTCTCGATTGCATTGGGGTGTTGTTCCATGTAATGTGGTAGAGCTAATCCAAACACAATGGAAAATCCAACGATGAACAAGTTTCTGGAGGAATTCATGTCAGCAAATTGTAGATTCGAGATTCCAACAGCGGCGATCATTCCAAACATAACCATGTAAATTCCACCAACAATGGGATCTGGAATGCTGACGAAAACCGCGCCAACCTTACCAAGAAGGCCAACCACAATCATCACAAGAGCTGCAAACTGGATAACACGAAGACTTCCAACCTAACATGGCAAAAGCCTGGTGTTACATCTACTATGGTGACAGGGTTGTATCATTTATATGATCTGTTACGTTTATTGTATTAGAAAAAACAACAGGAAAGACATCTATATTCCCTGATGCTGTTTATAGTGTTAGCATTTATTAGTCAAGTCTGGTACGTTTTAGTCCACTGCTTTGGTACGCTTGGACATGTCAAACGGATTTGGTCAAGACCTTTTATAATATTACTTCTCGTAGGCACTATTAAAAAAATTTTGGTCCCAAATTAAAGTACCTTTGTGATGCCAATGGCGCCAGTGTTTACACTGTACGTGGTTGTACCATTTCCACTACCAAAAGCTCCCGTCAAGAGACATCCAATCCCTTCTACTCCTATTCCACGATTGATGGCGTGTTTTGGCGGTGGAGGTGCCCCAGATAATCTTGCACAGGCAAAGTATTCTCCTACTGACTCAATAATGGAGGCCAGCACCCCAGCTAGCATCCCAAACACCCCTGCGGCACTGACAGTTGGCGTACCCCACTGACCTGGAAAATTATGAACACGTAACACGAGTTATAAATGAGTATGGCTAGGGTTGTAAGGTGGGAATTCTGGCCCGGGTTTTTGAAAGGCTGGATAACGCTACCCTTCGGATAAATCGCTATCCAGCGAACAGCGTGGTATAGTTTGTTAACACTTATCCACTGGATAAGCACTGAATAGCACTATCCACCCCCTGAGCAACTGGGCCCTGTGTGGTAACTAATGAAGTTGCGTTACCTGGATTGACCTTCTTGAGCTCAACATATAGATTAACATTTAGCTGTATATGAAAGCTGGAAGAATTTACTTTTTTATGATAAATTGCCCAATTTTAGTGCAAAAAATAAATCAGTTTTGTTATAGAGAAAAAATATTAACCTTTGATTCAGCAATTCTTAGATGACCATAAAATTATCATTTACGTTATCGTGATCGACATGAGTTACTGCTACTAACCTGGATATGGAACTCTGAACCATTTGGCCTCTTTTAACACAGAGATCCTTGCGTCAGTTCTCGCCATGTACTGAGGAATGCTGGGATCAGAAGGAAAGCCTCCTGCTGCGGTGATAATGGCACAAATAATCCACGATGCTACGATGGCCAAGATGATCTGCATATTGAGAAAATCGAAATCCACTTGCCAAAAACAAAGACAGGAAAAGCCTAAAACAGATTATTCTTATAATGTTGTTATTTTAGGAGCTGAAGATTCTTTCTAGTTACCTCCTACAGGGTCATACACATTTACAGTATGTCATAATAGATCAGATACCATTTCCGTTTTTCGTAACACTGCATACTATAAAACTTTTAACCGGTATAAGTGTGATAATTTCTAATATTAGTTCAAACGTTGAATTTGACGAATATGCTGCTACTATAGGGTCCAGATAGCTCGGGAAAATCAACCTGCTTGTATCTGATAAATCACCATTCTGTTGATGACAGGGCTGACGACAATTTCCAGCAATTTTCCAACAGCTATTTTTTGACGGATCAAAACAATCACTCTTTATCAAGTGATGCTACAATATTGTTACCATAAAAACGCCTCGCCATTGGTGAAACAATAAACGTAGCCTATGTGGCGTAACAGGGTACTATAGCAACAATACAACCTGTGAGAAGCACCCTTTATTCTAGCTTGAAAATGCTTAGAACTCAAAAACGAGCTCGGTGATCCCGATTTTTTTTTTTATTATCGAATTGTGATAAGCATGATCAGATGCAACTTTCTGCAAAGTTTTAAAGACTTCCGTGGAGAGGGTTCAAAGTCACCTTAAAATTTCGAAAAGCTGTTTCTCTTAGGGAAATATACGTCTGATATGCCCTGGTCTGGCTCAAAAATAGCTGGAAAGTTGGCAACAATTGTGTATTATCATTTTTAGGCATGGCACCCAGTTCTTGTTGTTCTTTATTTTTATCATGAAGGAAATAGGTAAAACAAGTCATAAAGTCCATTTCATTTATAATTTTGTTTGTGCGCTTGTTTCTCTTTAATAAATTAATAAATAAATAAATAAATAAATAAGTAAATAAAGCATCCATTCTTCTCGGGATGATGTACATATGATGTATTATTACAAACAAACGTTATATTCATGCTCAAGAAACTTTACTGGCAATGCTAAAGTTCATAAAAAATACAGAATTATAGAGAAATAAAAGAGTTGTAGCCGGCGTCCCTAGCGCTCTATTAACCCGGTAACTCCGTCCCCTACAAACTCAAGGGTGCTCCCAACTCAAGTTTTTTAAAAATTGTGTACTACAATACTCACTGGAAACAACCTGGCCTTCCCAACCCAAGTCTTTTAAAAATTGTGTATTACAATACTCACTGGAAACAACCTGAAAAAAGGGTAACGGCCAACATAACAACCACCCTTATTTTTGCTATATCCAGGAAGTGGAATCTTGACATTGCTCAGGTATTGAGAAAACAGAGCTATTAAAACAATGGTCCTAAAAGAATAAACAAACAAAAAACAAAAATAAACAAAAATAAATGATACTTTGAATAAAAGACAATATTTAGATGCAATTATGAACTTTACCTAAACTTTCGAAAGTAACACAAAAAACAACCGGTAAAAAAAGTTCTGTAAAGTTCCGTCTAGACCAGAAGGATTCCTCTTCCAAAGAAGTTTAAATTGGCCTATGTGTAATGCGTCAGCCAAAGCAAACAAAGTTGGGGCCTATTTGACAACTATGTGTCAGTGGTGTACATTGCAGGTTACTGTTTATCATCTGACAATTTTTTTCTCGCTGATATTTTTAAGTAACAGTCGATGCCTACTTACGTCATTGAAATTCCCCAATGATTTCCTATGAAGGTGAAGATTTAAAAAAAGGATCAGATTAAATAAATTATCAACATAAAAACTGGATTTTCAAGCTGAAACCAGAGGGCAATTAGTCGTATTTACCCGCAGTATCCGCTGCTAATCTGAAGAGTGCCACACCCACCAGAGTAACAGTAGGTGCAACGGTTAGCGGTCCAATGAAGCGAAGAAGAAACCCAATGAGGCCAGTGAAACCGATCATAATTTGAAACAGTGACGAAACCATGATAGCACCTTGGATCTGATGAATGAGTAAACAGAAATAAACAAGGCAAAACCGTCTTGACGTTTTACAACACACCGTTAGCCTTACCTCTCTCATGCCAGGTTTCCAGATGTCATCACTGTTAGCAAGTGAGCTTACAGTAGAGTTACCATTTTCTTAGAAAAGAAAAGTAATATGAGACGATCACTAAACTACTTTGTACATCGACTATGCAACGTACGCTACGAAAGACAGCAATAACTTACATAATTATAATTCCGTTTCATAACCGGCTTGGTGTTCTCGGGGCTTCTTACGGCATATATAGAATATGGATGGAATTAGACTAGTATAGTCTAGAAGGTTTTCCCATCAATGATAAGTATCGATTACAGTATAAAGTACTGAAACCCCGCCTTACGATCTCGCCCCACCCCCGCCGAACCACCTTGTTGTTGGACAAGACTCTTTCCCAATCATTATTAACCTTCAGATGTACCTGACAGTTCGTATCCCCACCGGGGCACAAATGGGTGGGTATGGATGGAACCTTTATAAAATTATTTTGCGTTCAGTACATAACCATCGTCTCCTACCGCAATAACTTCGCCGTTTTGAAACTACCATTGTGCTTTTTAAGATTTTATCAGGAGTCAGAAAATAAGGATGATAATAAAATGTTCAAAGTATTTAATCTGCCTTGCTGCTAACAAAACCGTGCCAAACCAAAGAATTCTGAGAAAAGCTCTATTTGGCTTGCCCAGCATGTCGGTTGTTATGGTAATGGTGTGTGACGTCAAACAGTTTACACATCGAAATGTCTGCGAGGGATGAACGAACAGGTGCTGAGAGTTTCAGAATCAAAGAGTAAATCCCTTGTCCAAAACAGGTAAGAAAAAGCACAAAGCGTCATGGTCATATTAACGGGTGTCACAGCACTAAAGGATCCTAAAGGAAATCAATTTACCTCCAGGTTTCTGGCATTCCCACTGTGGCAAAGATAAGATGGCAAATGTCGGAGTAAGAAAAGCAAAAGTTCCTCCTTGAACGACAGGGAGCCTGCAAGCAAGTAACGTTATTTGCAAGAATAGAATTTACTTAACTTGGAAAAGAAGAACACTGGGCTGTACGTAAACAAAATCACGCAGCAAACCACTCTAAAAACTTAAAACCTTGATATTGTTGATATATTTTACTGCGTCTCTCTC